TTTTTTGTCTGAGACCTTGTCTCAAAAACAATTAAAAAAAAAACCCCACAAACAAACAAAAAACTAATCTCAAATGATCACAGACATAAATAATGAAAGAGAAAATTCTTGGAAGAAAACATGGGAGCAAATCTTCATGACCTCAGATTTTAGATGGTTTCTTAGCTACATCAGAAGCACAAGCAACAAAAGCAAAAACAGATACACTGAACTTCATCAAAATTAAAAACTTTGGGGGCTGGAGAGATGGCTCAGTGATTAACAGCACTGACTGCTCTTGCAGAGGACCTGGGTTCAAGTTCTAGCACCCACCCACATGGCAGCTAATAACTGTCTATAATTCCAGTTCCAGGGGATCAGACACCCTCTCCTAACCCCTGCAGGTATTGCATGACATGGATGTACTCAATATACATGCAGGCAATACACTCATACACAAAAATAAAAATAAGAATAATTAATAAAATAAAAACTTTGGCGCCTCAAAGGACAGCAATACGAAGAAAATTAAAACACAGACCTGGGGAGCGGGGTCCATGGGTAAGATACATGGTGCACACGCATGAGTTCTGTCCCCAGCACCCAAGTAAAAAGTTGGTGTGGTGGTGCAAACTTGTGACCCAGTGCTGGGGTGGCAAAGACAGGCAGATCCTGGGGCTCACTGGCCAGCCAGCCCGGCCTAATCAGCCAGCCGATGGTCCCAGTGGGAGACTCTGGACTCTGTTTCTACAAACAAAGTGGATGGCTCTTGAGGAATAACCTCTGGCCTACACATGAACACAGTTCACGTGCACTCACACACACCTGCGCGCACACACACACACACACACACACACACACACTTGTAATCCTAGCATGAGGGAGGTAGAAGCAGGAGGACCATGAGTTCAAGATCATCCTTGTTCCATAGTGAGTTCAAGGACAGTGTGATCTACATGAGACCCAGCCTCAAAACACTAGCCAACCAAACAAGCAAACAAGCAAACAAAATAGTAAAATACCACTTCAAACCCACTAGGATGACTGTAATGATAAAAACAGGTTTAAGTGTTGGCATGCCCTTGGGGTGTGGACCCTCATCCTTTACTGAGGGCTACACTGGATGACTCAGCTGCTTTGGAGAACGTTCTGGAAGTTCTTCAGAAGATAATGTGTAGCCTGATCATGTGACCCAGCGTTTCTACTCTAAGATAAGGAACCAAAGGGAAGTGAAAACAAGTCTCCATCCCCAAACATGCACACGCATAATCATAGTGACAGTAGTTAATATTCCTAACACCTAAGATACACCAGATCCATACAATACATTATCATGAGACAAGTGGTGGTGCTCGCTTTTTTTTTTTTTTTTTGGTCTTTTTTGAAACAGGGTCTCCTCGTAGCCCCAGTTGGTCTGGAGCTCACTATGTAGACCAGGCTGGCCTTGAACTCATAGAAATGTGCCTGCCTCTGCCTCCCAAGCGCTGGGACTACAGGTGTGTGCCACCACAGCTGTAGTGCATGCTTTAATCCCAGGCAGAGACAGGAGGATCTCTGAGTTCAAGGTTAGCCTGCTCTATGTAGTGAGTTCCAGGCCAGTCAGGCATATATAGTGAGATCCTGTCTCAAACTACTCCCCTGTAAAAAACAACCCCAAACACCAAATGCTACAACACAGATGAAGCTTGAGGGAAAAAAAATTGTTTTGGCTAAAGGAAAGAAGCCAGATCACACTGGGCGTGGTTACCCATGCTGTAATCTCAGCATTTGGGAAGCTGAGACTGGGTGCTCTAGAGTTTTAGGCCAGTCTGGGCAACAAAGTGAGACCCTGTCTTCAAAACAAACCAACTAGCCTGGTGGTGCATGCCTGTAATCCCAGCAGAGGCAGAGGCAGGCAGATCTTTGTGAGGTCAAGGCCAGCCTGGTTTACATAGCAAGGACTCCTGAGAGACCCTATTTCAAAACAACAACAAACAAGCTGGGTGGGGTGGCTCACACCTTTAATCCCAGCACTCAGGAGGCAGAAGCAGGTGGAGCTCTGTGAATTCAAGGCCAGCCTGTTCTATATAGTGAGTTCCAGGCCAACTGGGGCTACAGGGAGACCCTGTCTCAAAAAGACCAAAAAAAAAAAAAAAAAAAAAATCCAAAACCCCCCCCCAAACAAACAAAAAGCCAAAAAAAAAAAAAAAAGACAAATAAACTACAAAACAAAACTCAGAGGGTCAAGTTGACTCAGCTGCAGAATGCTTTGTAAGACCAAGGCCATGGCGTTTGATTCCCCAGCATCAAAAAACAAACAAAAACCTCCCAAACTCCATAAAATTGATAAAACAACAACAAAAACCAAGCAAGACTAAACCAAATTAAAAGACCAATCACAGAAATAAGTAATGATTGCTTGCTATTGTTATTATACCTTTATCTTTATATATGTATTTAATTT